AGTGCTTGGGGAGCAGGAAAGCAAGTGCTAAAAAAACCCGCCCTTGCATTAAAAATGTTCAGCTAGGTTTTTTTTGTTTTGTTTTGTTTTTTTTCTTCTGCTTTGTGCACTGTTAATTTAATCACCGCGAATGAGGGGAATAACTATTAAAAGTTGTGTGTGGAATATATCATTCCCCAGGAATCTCTTTGGATACTGAGCACTAGAACTGATGCAAATGCGTTGCTTTTGTTTACGATCCGCGTGCCAAACTGATTTTTTAAAAATCCCTTTTTATTGTTGCACTTATTACTGTATAAATCCATGCTGCAAACCAGTGATAAAACGTCCTTTTATTACTTATTCGTAGGATCTCGCAGCAGTCAAAGCGTAGGCAGAAGTTGGAGATTTTTCTTCTCTGATGTCATCTGGGGTATCCTTTAACTGAGCACAGACAGGCTTAAAATACTGAGAAACTTCCTGTAGGCAGAAGCAGTTGTAACGCTCCTGCCTCTTGCATGTGGCTTGCTTTGTTTTTTACTTATTTGAAGTATGTTGATTAAACTGGTGTTTGTTTGGAATAAACAGTCGCTGAGCTTGGAAACAAAATATTCCCCGATGCTCTTGGGCGTTTTATTCTCGCTGCGCACTGTGGATTAGTTATAAAAATGAGGCCTTTGGTTGCCCTGGCCCATGTGGGGATTTATCCGTGTTCTGCAGAGGAGATTGGGACAGTGAATCCCTGCATGGGGTAATTCAGTCTATATCTGGTTTTTAAACATCCTCCCTGAAAGGTTGGCAGTGAGGACTGTGTTGAGAGAGACTCGCTTGGTTATTGCGGTAGATAAAAACACCTAAATATTTCATTTGAATTCTGCATAGAGTAGGTGCCGCAGCAACCTATGTCAGGGTGTTGAATTGCTGAATTTTGAGCATTTGCTGAACAGTTTTGCAGGTCTGAAGCCCTGCCCGAGTTTGCAGCCTGCGGGTTGCAAACGAAGCCCTTTTGCTACGGGAAGGCAGCAAACGCCCCGAACTGCGGCAGCCTTCGGGGCTGCTGGCCAAAAACTGCTTAAAATCAGGAGATTTCCAAGCTATCCGTCCTGATTGCAGTGTTATACAGCAGCATTAAAGGAGAAGTCAACAGCCTGGCTCTTCTAATGACACTTTTATTGTGACTGGAAAATCTGGGAGGCCCGAGTAATTAGCGATGCAAATATCTTAAGATGTGTGTATGAAAATAATGCATGGCTGTCCCTAGTATTTCACTAAGAACTAGGCTTTCTGTTTCCTTTTGCTTTTAAGCATGCCTCAGATGGTCTTTTTACTTCACTAATGCTAAACTTCATGCATATATCTTGGACGTGGAAACGATTTTATCATGCATATATTAGAATTCTAGCCGCAAATGTTTATAATGATATATAATTATAACTATAAAGGGATTTTTGTCAGTGTGGATTGAGAAATATTAGCGTTGGGTCATACTCTAAAGAATACCCTGTTTTTTTAATAGAAAACTCACCTTTTCCAGGACATGCAGTTGCTGACATGAACCTGAATCTCCGGGCTCTGCTGTTAACCAGCAGGCTGCATTTCCTCCTCTTATATCATTTTCATTTCAAAGCCTAATTCTTAGATTTACAAGGGAGATTTTAAGGCTGTGATCAACAGCGTTATGCTAGCAGTGCATTTCATTCCATGAAGTTCTCCCTGCTACTATATAAAGGTTTTTCTAAATCACAAAACCTCCTGGCCGTAGCCAGAACTGCGAAGGCTGTTGTCTGTCATTTGTCACAGCCCTATTTTTAATCATTTTTAGAAATGAGACTCTTTTTATAAAACCATGAAATCTTTTGCTTTTAGACTACAGCTGTTCATGTATTAACGGTAGGGAAATAGGAACAATTCCTAGCAATATGCTGGGAATGCATTAGGTAACCGGGAAGACTTTCTGAACGTTGTTTGTACCTGTAAGAGGCTTTAACTTTTACTCCCATCTGGAGGGTTCGGGGTTTTTAGTCGACAGCACCAGGTTTTGGTGCCAAGGGGACGTTTTGGTCGCTTTGGGCTCCCCTTCGTGCGCTCCGACATCAGGCTCCGCTCGTGGCGTTGGGCGCTTGGAGCGATGGCGGCTGGCAAAGGCCTTCAAGATCATCGAGCCCAGCCCTGCCCCGTGCGGCCTGGGCTGTGCTTGAGGTTTT